GGTTCTGACCCATAGCGACCCTGTACAGGGTTTCCGAGGGTGTAAATCTTTACAGGAGTAGAAAGCCTCATCTTTCTCCCGTGGAGCGACTGGTAGTTTCGAACCGCGGACCTTAAGGTTCACAGCCCGATTCGTAACCACTACGCTACCAGAGCTCCCTACATACCGCTAAATTCTGCGCAGTATAATATCTAGGTTATACGGTTTATACACCTTAATTGAGTGTCATTAATTTTGAGTGGATTCTGGGTCCATGCAGGTCTTGTGTTAAGTGCTGCAGATTATTAGGCGAATATGACATGATTCAGGCCTTTAAACGATTCTTTGTTATATTATGGTGACCTGAATATTGTTAGGATGCTGGAAACTATAGCATCAGTGTTGCAAATGCCAGCAGGATCAGTCATAGTGGACAGGAGGGTTTGGTGAAGCTGTCAGACTAAGACAAACTAGAAAGAAAGGGCTGGAAATCTACTTCTGGATATTAGTCAATTAAAACCCTGCGGTCTTCAACAAAATACTGTTGAATGCAGCGCTAGAAAATGAGTCCCTAGATTGGAAAGCACTACGCCAGAACAGCAACATGCTAACTTAATAAAATGTTTAATTTTGTTGTTGATAAGGTTTCTAAGAATCAGAGAGTCAGAAGGAACTGGAAAGCTCCACAAAGGACTTTAAAGGAGCAAAGTTTTGGTTTGTGCTAACTATAATCAGCCTAGTTTTCTCACTTTCTAACATGTGGCTCAAGCATACTAGCAGCAATTTCTAAGGCTCCTTAGGTAAATGCATGGCAATGTAAAACTGGCCTTTACATTTAAAAAGGAACAATCTTTCCTTCATTTTGCAAGAGGAACACCAATGTTGTTAATGAATATGTTCAATAAAAGTCCATGAAAATAAGCCTTTCAAACAAAGCTGAGGAGAAACACATTTGCACCAGTCAAAATCTTTTAAGTTTAACAGTTCTTATAAATGCCTGGAAAAGGAGTTTCTCCATAAATCTTATTTCCAAATCAAGCAGGCCTCCAAAAGAATATGAACATAACAAACCTAGGGGGAGGTTAGTGGGGGAAGATCCCAAAATGAAAATATCTTCTTAATGTACCCAGTTATTAATTTTCTTTCTCTCTCTGTCTCTCTCTCTCTGTCTCTCTCTCTCACTCACACTCACACACACACACACACACACACACACACACACACACACACAGTCACAAACATATACACTCCACAATTGGGGACTAAAGATTGGGAGTGCGGGTGGTAGACGTGGAGAGGGAGACGACTCTGATTTATTATAACATATTCGCGGGATTCTACCCAGACCTTGTAAATTTGTCTCCAGGCCATGAGCTGCTGGAGGCCAGCAGGAGGGACGGACAGGTCATGCTTTCCGGACTACCCATTGGTGGACTCAGCGTGGCCAACTCCTTGCCCTTGGTGGACATGCGGTCTTTGGCCCTGCCTTCTCCCTGCGCCCCCATCTGGTGTCTGCGCTATAAGTATCCCGGACCAGAGGACTCCCTCCAGAAGTTCGCTGCGCCTTTCACAAAGAGTTTTCCGCAGCCCCAGGACGGCACGGGGCCGGACATCTCTGAGCTGCAGGCGCCGACCCAGGAGGCACACCCAAGCCAGGGGGCCCTCCGCTGCTGCCCACCGGTGCCCATTGCTCACGGCGTCCTCTTCCTACAGGTGCCCGCGCCCGCCGGGAGCAGCAGTTGCACCAGGTGGCATCCGGGGTGGTGTCAGTGAAAAGCAGCCTGAGGAAGATGCTGCTTTCCAGGGAGAAGGAGCGCCAAGGCGCACTGTATGAGGGCGTGGGGGACCGCATGGATGACTCCAAGCACTCCTTCAAGGTACTCCGGAGATGGGCGGTTGGGACAGGGCTGAAGTCCGGGTGGGGGGCGGTCCTCAGCTTGTCCTCAACTTTGGTTCCAGGTGTCCTTGTTGGCAGGGGAGGACAAGAAGCCTGGAGAAGCCAGGGGGTGAGGGGGTCCGGGGAAATACATCTGGGTGTGCGATAAAGGGAAGCCTCAGAAAAGGGAGATCCTGAAGGCAAAGCTCTTAAAGCGCCCCACACAATCTGTACTTTGTCCTGTTTGAGTTCTTGTTTGCTTGTTTTACCTGTTCCTGCTCTAGGATAGACATCCACAGTTGGAGGCTGTTGTTGTTAGGGGCCCTAGAGTCGGTTCTGATTCATAATGACCCTGTATAGGATTTCCAAGGAGCAGATGGTGGGTTTGAACCGCCGACTTAGTGGTTAACAGACCAGTTTTATCCTACAGCATCATACCAAGACTTCCAAAACAGTACCCTCCACAGTCTGCAGAAACGGACAATTATCTAACATCAAGAAGCTTTGGTGGTTGTCTTAGAACATTTTGTGTTGTGTTCAAAACCAAACAACTAATTGGTCGTATTTCAAGATTTTTGTTGTTGTTGTTAAGTGCCGTCGAGTTGTTTTTGACTCACAGAGACACTGTAGTGTTTCCCAGCCCTCTGTAGTCCGGTTCTTATCCTACATTGTAAATTAGATTTCTATTAAAGAGGATAAGCACTGGACTTCTAAACATAAGGTCATTGGTTCAAACCCACCAGACACTGTTCGGAAACCCGCTACAGGGTCATTGTGAGTCAAAATGGATTCTACAGCATTTAAGAACAACAACATTGAAAAGCTACATTAGGGTTGAGAAACACTCCAGTCTCATAGCATTAGAAGGAAAACAGTGTAGTATTTACAGGGAGTGATCTGGGTGAAACAAGACAAGACTGGCAATTCCTCCAGGAAGTGAAGGGTTAGGAAAGAATTTATGGAGGCCCTTTGAATGCAGATGGTCTTGGGACCATCTGACCTCAAGGCAGCACTATCTACCAGCTGATGGCGCATTCTAGGGGCAGAGAGTATTGGGATGTTCAGAAAAGTGCCATTGGACCACTGATTCCTGCAGACTGTGAGCAAGAGAAGAGGCCTGTCTTTAAATGCTTTACAGTGTTTTCAGTAGTTGTTTACACAACAGTTCTGTTTCACATTCAACAATTTCTACATAAATTGTTTAGTGACACTGGTTACATTCTTCACAATGCAGTATTTGCAATGTTTCCATTCTGATTGTTCTAATTAGAACAGGTCCCTTTTTTAACATTAAACATGCAAACAACAGCAGCAAAACAATTGCCTTGAGTAGATTCCACCTCATGGTAGCCTCATATGTGCAGAGTATGTACCACAGTTTGTTTATCCATTCTTCAGTTGATGGGCACTTTGGCTGTCTCCATCTTTTTGCTATTGTAAATAGTGCTGCTATGAACACTGATGTGCATATATCTACTCGTGTTATAGCTCGTATTTCTTGTGGGTAAATACCAAGTAGAGGAATTGCTGGATCATAAGGTATTTCTATTACCAACCTTCTGAAGAAGCGCCATATTGCTTTCTAGAGAGGTTGGACCATTTTGCAGTCCCACCAGCAATGCAGGAGTGTCCCAGTCTCTCCACATCCCCACCAGCATTTATTGTCCTCTACTTTTTTGATCTTTCCTGTTATTGCTAGTATGAGATGATATCTCATTGTTGTTTTGATTTGCATCTCTCTAATGGCTAGTGATCATGAATATTTCTTCATATGTTTGTTGGCTGCCGGGATCTCCTTCTTGATGAAGTGTCTGTTCATGTCCTGTGCCCATTTTTAATTGGGTTATTTGTCTTTTTCTTGTAGAGGTATTGTGGTTTCCTAAAATCGGGCTGCTAACCTCAGGGTCATCAGTTTGAAACTACCAGCTGTTCTGCGGGAGAAAGATGAGGCTTTCTGCTCCCGTAAAGATTTACAGCCTCGGAAACCCTGTACAGGGTCGCTATGAGTCGGAACCGACTCCATGGCACATAACAACAAGAACATATATTTTAGAAATGAGTCCCTTGTCTGATGTGTCATTGCAAAATATTTTTTCCTATTCTGTGGGTTCCTTTTTACTTTTCTGGTGAAGTCTTTTGATGCACATAAGTTTTTAATTTTTAGTATGTTCCACTCATCTATTTCATCTACTTTGTGTAGTTTTCAAGATGTTTTGTAGTCTGTGTATTCCCTGAATTAGTGCCCTCACATTTGTCCCTATTTTTTTCATTGATAGCCTTCATAATTCTGGGATTCACATAAAGGTCTTTGATCCATGTTGACTTGGGTTTTTGTATAAGGTGTGAGGTGAAGGCCTTGTTTCAATCTTTTGCATATCGCTTTCCAGTTCTGCCAGCACCATCTGTTGAAGAGACTATCACCTCCCCATGTGATATATATAGGTGTTTTGTCACATATGTGCAGAGTAGAACTGCTCCATGGGGTTTTCTACACTGTAATCTTTCACAAGCAGATTGTCAAACTTGTCTTATGAGGTGCTTCTTGGTAGGTATGAGCTGCCAAGATGATTTGGATTAGTAATCAAGTGCTTAACCATTTACTCCACTCAGGACTCTTATGAACATTGTTGTTGTTAAGTGCCATCGAGTCATTTCTGACCCATAGCGACCCTGTATAGGGTTTCCGAGGAGCAGCTGGTGAGCTTGAACCATCGACCTTGCAGTTCAAACCATCTTTGCAGTCTGGCGCATTAACTCACAGCGCCACACCATGACCCCCTTATGAACATTAATTAAGATATTAAAATTCTCTCTGCAAACCCCCTACCACAAATCCCGTTCTATGGTGGAGCCTTAGGTGTTTTGTGAAGTGAGGGGTGCTTATATACATAAAAAAATGTACATATTCATGCATCTTTTTATTTACAAAAATGTTAAATTACAGTATGTTTCACTCTGATATACTCATGAAATATATTTTAGAATATTTTTCAGAACAGTACCTGAGATTCACCTCCCTGTCTTTAGCAGCTTCAGAGTATCCCATTGTAGGATTGTATCATGATTCATTTAACCAGCACCACATTTGGTTTTGTTTCAATGTGTCTCCAAGTAACAAAGCCCCTCTTTTTTGAGTATTGACACATTTGTGGAATACACTGATATGTTAAAATCCTAGCTGGATCAACTGATTTTTAGTTTTAATTTTGGTAGAAATGGCCAAATTTCCCTCTAAACAGGGTGCATCTGTTGATCCTGCCACCAATCCTATGTCTGAGTCAGGTGCATGTGATAACTCACACACACAAATAAACCAGACTTCCCAAGGTAAGTCTGTTTGCACACCCGGGCGGAATATCTACTTTTTCTCCTTAATATACAAATCTTAACAGTGGTTAAGATTCTCAAGAGTTGAGTCATGAGTGGACTTCAAAGATACTAAGATAGCATCTTTGAACTGATATTATAGGACAGGAAGAATATAAACAGGAACATAACTGGAAGAAATACAGAAAATTTGAAATCACACCATAAAGACTGCTACTTCTTTTACTTCTTATAAGTCTGTTCCTATGCAGGGTTTCTAAGGCTGTACATTTTTATGAGAAGAGAAAGACTCATCTTTCTCTATTGGAGCAGCTGGTGGACTCAAACCACTGACTGCCAACCTTGTGGATTTCTGCTGCACAGAGCCTCACCTTTACTCTTTCTATATATCTTTTATCTTTAGTTTTATTTTTGAAGGCAAATTGAGCCGTTTATGTTATTTAGGGCTTTCAGAAGTTACATTATATTTTATTAATTGCAGCAATTCCATATAATTTTGTAGAAATCCTAGTGGTTGGACTCATTACAAAGCAAAATGTTCAACACAGGAGAATTCTGAACTCTGGAGATTCCTTGGTGACTTGCTAATTAAAAATACCCAATGCATACCATATTCTCTCAGGCATACACACTATCTCAGGAATACTAATGAAATCAGAAGATAGTAGAAAACTGAAAAAGATGAGAAGTAAGTGTGGAACAAGAATCATCTGACTGATGCCTTTAACCTTTTCCAACTGCTCAATTTCAGGAAAGTTAGTACTTTAGCATTTCACCTTTCATTTACTATTATCTTTCTGTTTCTCACCTTCCCCCTCCCCTTATTGTTTATATGCATCTCATAGCAAAGCCATATAAGAATATGCTGTTTTAATGTTTGATTTTTAAGAGTTTAAAATGAGCTTTTCTAAAAGTGTTCTAAGCTATGAGGGAGCTTCAAAAAGCTTGTGGGAAATATTTTTTTAAAAATAATGGAATTTTTCCATGAACTTTTTGAAGCCCCTTTATATAATGTTATTTGTCATATAGTTCAGGATCCAAAAGAATCTGAAGTGACAATAGAAATATATATTTAATGAATTTATTAACTTGTCTGAATGATGTGCTCAGCTTACTTTCAGGACATTAAGAAATCTCTTCAGTCTTACTTACCCTGGCAAATACTGAATTCAGAGAATTGAGACTTCTTTAATACATCCAAAAAGCCTGGGTAAAGTGTTTAGCTGCTGTTTTTTTTGTTGTTGTGAATTCAACAGTATCTGCAGACATCTGAATCTAGAACTTGTTCTAAAGTGTCTGTAATTGGGTTTGTCATCACAGCAAATCGCTGAACAGGTCTATATGACACCTTGCAATGTATTCTCTTTATATTATCTCCCTAAGAACAGATCAAATTCAAGTGCTAAAATCCTTCTAAGTAGCTTCAGCTAAAATAAACACTTTCTTTGGCCGGGTGAGACAATGAGGAAGAGTCTAATTTTACAAGAAACTCATAATTTATTACTGAATATGTAAACTTGGAAGTGGTTGAATGTTTATCATCATATCCTGTTATTCACTGAAGCTTATAGAGGATTAAATTTTGAACGTGAGGGGAGAGTTATTGTTGTTGTTGTTGTTATTGTTGTTGCTAGGTGCCATTGAGTTCATACCGACGCATAGCAACCTTATGCACTGCAGAAGGAAACACTGCCTAATCCTGGGCCAACCTCATTATTGTTGCCACACTTGAGCCCATTGATGCTGCCACTTGGCCAATCCATCTCGCTGGGGGTCTTCCTCTTTTTTTCTGACCCTCCACCTTACCAAACATGATACCCTTCTGCAGTAGCTGGTCCCTCCTGACAATATGTTAAAAGTATGAGAGATGAAGTTTGGCCATCCTGGCCTCCAAGGAGCACTCTGGCTGCACTTCTTCCAACACAGATCTGTTTGTTCTTTTGGCAGCCCATGGCACTTTCAATAGTCTCCTCCAACACTGTAACTCAAAAGCATCAATTCTTCTCTTGTCTTCCTTATTCAATGTCCAGCATTCGCATGCATATGAGGTTATTGAAAATACCATGGCTTGGGTCAGGTGCAGTCAGTCCTCAAGCTGGCATCTTTGCTCTTCAACACTTTAAAAAGGTCTTGTGCAGCAGATTTGCCTAACGCAATATGTCATTTGATTTCTTGGCTACTGCCAAGAAATGTTGATAGTCAATCCAAGAATGAAGTCCTTGACAACTTCAATCTTTTCTCCATTGATAAGAATGTTGTTTATTGGTCCAGTGGTGAGGATTTTTGTTTTCTTTACATTAAGATGCAAACTTTGTATTTTGCTTGTTTTCATAAGAAATCACTCTTACATGGTAATCTTTTAAATAAAAATGTTAAGAGTAATACATTTTTATTTAAAAGACTACCATGGAAGAGTCATTTCTTATGAAAACAAGCAAAATACAAAGTTCAAAATGTTGAGATTAGTTTTTATTTATGCCATGCAGACATTCCCTGTATGAATCCTAATATGCTCAATTATTTATTACCCGATTAAAGGACTGGTTAAATTGGTTAAAGATCTATAGAAGCTTGGTCAATAATTATTTACAGTAATTCTGACTTACTGCAACAGGGTTTCCAAGATTTAAAAATTTTATGGGATCAGTCTCATATTTCTCTTGCAACACTTTATAAGTTATATTAAAATGCATTAAGTCCTTTAACATTTCATTTTATTTTATATGTTTTTGCTTTTAAAGTAGCAAGAAATACTCTGGTTATCATTAAAATACAAATTAAAGTTTCAGAGCTATATATTACCATGTACCAAATGTACCTAATCATAGTCTAAAGTAGAATGAAATTAGAATGTATTAAATAATAAATAATCATTTCTTTTGTGCAGGCTTCTGTATTTTACAAGAATAGTCGTTTTACAGTGGCTTTCCTAAAAAGCTGGTCTTATAAGGACATTTTGTTTTTGAATCATGTGAAGAAATATTTTCCAAGAAAATTATTTTAGGAAAATTTCAGGCAAGTGTATTAGTATTTGGCTACATAATTACAAAACTAGTAGGATGTCTGAAAAACCATCTTAGTTTATATGCTACCATAGGTTTAGAAAGAGGTTCCACTCACCACCCCACACTTCCATTTTATTTCTATTCATTTTTAAATCTCTAAGAAACTAACATTCACCAAGTAATCCAGGGATGTTCTAGAATGCATGACAGTTTATATGGCCTCACCTGATATTTCTTTCTTCACTCCGTCTCTTCCTTCTTTATTTCTTTCTCTTCTCTTCCGTCCTTCTTTTTTCCTTTCTTCTTGTAAAAATACCACCTAAAATTAAATATACAAATATACAGCACACATTTAGCTTAAAGCCCTAAATCAAACTCAATGCCATCGAGTTGATTCTGACTCATAGCAACCCTATGTAGGGTTTCCTAGACTGTAAATCTTTATGACAGCAGGCAGCCTCATTAATCTCCCACAGAGTGGCTGGATTTGAATTACTGACTTCATAGCTAGCAATCCAATGCTTATGCCACAGAGTCACCAGGGCTCCGATACATTTAGAAGACATTACATAAAATGAAAGATTAAGAAAGAACTAGAGAGTATTCGCAAAAAAAAATTTTTTTTGGCCTCAGAATTATTTTTTTTAAACTCTAAAAAATATTGAGGATACTAAGAAGCATTTGTTTATTTGAGTTATGTCTATCAATATTTGCCATGCTAGAAATTAAGGTACAAAAGAAATGTCAAACTTTGAGAAAACATAACAATATTCCAGTAACTGTGTGTACCATGATGTCACGAGACTCCTTGAGGCCTCTCAAAAGTTCCGTTGTACACTCATGAGAGGTTGAGAGTGAAAAGGGTTTGGCTAGAAGACAGTGGTGGAATATTTCAGCTCTCATGGAGGCATTATGAAGGGGATGTGATTTGAGAGGACTGTTGGAATAGACAAGTTGGAGAAAGGAAAACAGGTGAACTCCATTTGGTAAACACAAGCATGATGTGAACAGAAAGCACAGCATGTGCTGGAAGAGCATGTTTCCTGGAATAGACCATTTGTGTTCAATTTAGATTCATGCCAGAAATTTGGTTTCAGCCTGCTTTGGGTCCAGTCTGCAATCATCTTTGGCTTTAGCCTTAACTTTATCAATCAAATAGTGAAATGCTTAGTTTACTGTCATTTCTGGCTTGTCCAAACTGGTGTGTGATCAGTGACACCACCCTATTTAAATAGCATAACCATATTAGCAAGAGTAAGGTAATGTCCTTCATGCTTATTGATTGTACCTAAATATTCACTTTTAAATATAAGCAGGAATTCTACATATAACTTTTAATAAAACATTTACCAGTCAGTTGGAGTATAATTAATGAATTTGAAAATTCTTATTTTTATGTATACTGTAAGATATTAATGCTTTCAAACAGTTGAATAAGGATATAGAATGTCAGTTAATACAGATGTTAAGAAAGGGTATATTGGCTAATTTTAGGAAGAATATTATATACTTTGTGAACCAAAATATTTGTAAACAAATAATAATACAAGGCAGAGCCAATACAACATAAGTCATGAAGGCCTTTGTAAAATTTGTTTGCTATAATAACACTGATGACATTAAACACAATTATTTTTAAAGATTAATTTTTAGCAAGTTAATTAAATTCAGTATAAGAGTTTCACAAGAAAAAAAAGTCCTATTTTGTGAGATTAAATTAAAATTAGAATGTCTACTATCTAAACAATTCACCAGGAGGAAAATAATGTCATGCATGATAAATCATCTTCAGCCCAGGTATAATAAAGAAAAAAGTGTCAGAGAAAGATGACACTATCTAAACAGCAATTCTTCTCCCTTACTTTAGTGGAAAAAAGGCATCTGTTTGGGATAACAAATTTACAGACTCATGACAACAGCCAAAGTCCTAACATGCAATGAGTCTGATTTAGAAAATGTCTAACTTTTAAAATCTTTTTATTAGCAATTTAATAATTTAGACAGTGTGAGCAAATTTTTTCTTGACAAAGCAAATCCCTTTGTATCTTCATTATAGTTAATATTTCTCAGATCACATCCTTAACATATATTTGAAATCCTTTCTCAGGGTCTTTATTTTTACAGAAAATAAAGGTATGTCATCAGAAAATTGGAACATTCATTTGATGTACTTGACCAAGCATTTGCTGGTACCTTCGTTTTGTCTGTTAGCATTTTGTCTTTTCCAATAAAATGATTTGCCTTATCATAAATACAGTAAATACTTTGGACAATGATAACCTTTTTATATCTGGATGCAAGTTTGGTATGAACCACAAGGTTGGCAGTTCAAACTCACCAGTTGCTCCTTGGAAACTCTATACAGGTTTGCTATGAGTCGGAACTGACTTTATGGCATTTAACAACAACAACAACAAAACAATTTAATTGTCTAAGTTTTACTTCTACTTGTCTGAAATAACAATTTATATATATATACATCTAGGTGAATCTTGAAAGAAGTACATGTAAATTACAGAATTTCATCAAGAAGAAATGCAGACCAAATGTATGTGATGATATGAATGCCACTCCTTTGCATTATGCTGCAGCAGAAGGTCAAGTGGAGCTGATGGAGATGATCATCAATGACTCCTGCTGTGATGGTATCACAATGTCACAATAACTGCTCCCTACAGTCATTGTCTCATTAGATTTGTTGGGAAATGTAGTAGGAGGTGATTTTGAAGAGTATAGTGTTGTTGATATTGTCAAGTGCTGTTGAGTTGGTTCTAACTCATAGCTACCCTGTATAGGGGTTCTGAGGGTTTTAACTGCCAAACTTTTAGGTTAGTGGTCCAATGCTTACCCTACAACACCATACGTGGAATCCTAAGAGTACACTAGTGCCAGATTATATAGGGCATAGATATCACAACAGCAGATATCTCACTCAGGAACCTGGGTTTCCTTACAAACCAGTATGCCTCATTTTTTCCCCACTGAAATACTGTACAGAAGAGCCCAGATGCATCCCAAGGGATCTAGGGGATCCTGCATGTCATTTTGATGTACTAGCTCTGGTAGCGTAGTGGTTACAAATCGGGCTGCGAACCTCAAGGTCAGCAGTTCAAAACTACCAGCTGTTCTGTGTGAGAAAGATGAGGCTTTCTACTCCTGTAAATATTTACAGCCTTAGAAACTCTATACAGGGTCACTATGGGTCAGAACCGACTCGGCGGCACTTAACAACAACAGCTCCTATAATATTTCTGTGTTACTCTACATTTTAAATTACTTATTGAATAAAATTATTCATGTAAATTACAGATTGTAATCCAAGAAGATGTAGCACTTCTCCCGCCCTCCCTCCCCCACTCCTCCACCCGCATCCCACCCCCAATATACCTAACCTTGTTTGAGAAACTCAATTGTAGGTAGTGGAGAAGGAGGAAGCTCCAAGAAGTTTTAAAGCAGTGAGGTAGTTATGATAACATTTTTAATATATAAAATAATTCTATCAATATGTGTAAAGCAGATTAAAAGTGGAAGACCAATTAAAAACCAATAAAGGTATTTTTGTAGTAAGAGAGATGAGAGCCCACTGAGGGGGTTGTTGAATGAGAAGGGGATATTAAAGAGGCAATTTGCATATAGGGTCAACAGTGATTGATGACAGATTGAACATGAAGTGTAAGTGGCAGAGATTTGAAACTGATATTGAGATTCCTAATTTAGGAAATTAAGCTAATGATATAACCATACTGAAAGGAAGCCATATGAAAAAAAGGAAGGTTTTCGGAGAAAATGAATTTGGTTTTGGTCATACTGCATTTGAGCGGCCCGGAGGCGATCCACTTGGAGATCTCAAATAGACAAGCAAATATAAAAGGAAAGCCACAACCTGTATACAGCCACTGTTACAGGAAGTAGATAAGCAATAGTAAAAGATGAAAACCCTTTGTTGTTATTGTTGTTAAGTACCTTTCAGTCAGTTCCAACTCATAGAATCCCTATATAGGGTTTCCAAAGAGTGGTTGGTGAATTTGAATTGCTGATATTGCTCTTCAAACTAATCATGTGATTGAGTGTTTATCCTACAGCACCACACCAGGAAAACCCTTTAGGAAAGCATAAAATGGATAACAAATATATTTAAGGGTAGATCACCAACATTAATGCTGACATGGTAAAAGAAAAACCAGCAAAGGGATGATGAAGAAGCATCAATGAAGAGGGTGATAGATAGTGGTTGAGTGTTCAGATGTCAAGGGAGAAATTATTAGGATATATGAGTTAGAAAGATCAATTGCCACCAAGAAATGAAGTAGGATGAAGGTCACCATACCTGGAAACAATCTGTAGCTGTCAAATTAATTGCAATGCATACTGACCCTGCAGGACAGAGCAGAACTGACCCAATAGGGTTCCAAGGCTATCATCTTTATGGAAACAGACAGTCATACCTGAACAGCTGACCTTCCAGTTAGCACCTGAGCACCTAACCCCTGTGCTACCAGAGTTCCTAATGGTCATCATATATGTTGTTGTTGTCATTAAGTGCCATCGAGTTAGCTCCAACTCATAGCAACCCTGTATAGGGTTTCCAAGGAGCAGCTGGTGGGTTTGAACTGATGACCTTGTGGTTTCCAGTCCAGTGCTGATCCTATAGTGCCACACCAGAAGTTCATCATTATAGATAAAGCCCTTAAACTAAAAGTCCTTGATGACCTTTCCAAAAATAATTCCTGGAAAGTGATAGAGATAAAGCCAAATTCAAGTTGTTTGACTAGTGATTAAGCCCTGATTTAACTAAGTTTGGTGTGGAAAAGAATGTTGTATGGAGTTCTTTGTCATAATCAGAGACAATGGTCAAGAAATGTGTGTGTGTGAGGTTTTGTTGTTGAAAATGAAAGATTTGGATGAATGAAAGGGGATAGTAGAGAAACAATGAAAAACAAGAAAAGTGGAAAACATTCCAGATATACTAGATGTTCCTGATATTATATTTGAATGTATAATTTTTCCTCTTTCTCAGACACAGTTTAACACTAATTAATAAAGTTGATAAAGCAGAGACTCGTATATATTTTAGAATAGGGTGAAAAGGTACAATCTTAACGTTGGAGAAATAATGTGGTCTATGTGTGGTATGAGGGGTCTCAAGCTCAAGTGTTAACGTAATTTATTAGTTTTATATATTTTTCACTAGCAGTTTTTGAGCAATTGCTATGGGCCAGCCACTCTGTTAAAGTCTTTAAAGACATTATTTCTTATGATTTTTTCAATGATCTTGCAAGATTATGAGAAAACCAAGGCGAGATAAGATAACTTGCACAACTGCTGACTAGCTGTGTGAACTTGGCAAGATTTTTAACTATCCTGAGTCTCAACATTTTCATCTGAAAAAGTCATAGTATTTTGCATGGGTATTAGGAGGGCTAACTAATTGTTATATAGAACCTTGGAAAATGCCTCTCTAGTAGTAGTTACTAATTTTATAAAATCTCACTACCTTACAATGCACACAAAATTTATATTGGAGATAAGATATCTGCAGCAATAAAAGGCTCTGTCTCTTACTATAGGTACACAGTTAGTTCTGTCTTTCTGACAAGGTCAGTGCCATGTATCTATGTAGTCCCTCACAGATCCAATATGTTTCTTGAGAAAGATATATATATATACTTAATGGAGCAAACATAGCCCATTATAATGGCACTTGGCACAGAATTTGAAGAGTATAGTCAGTTAGTAGGTGTTGAATACCAAATCCAATCTAATCCATGTTTTTGTATCCTTTTCTAGTATTGAATGTGAAGGACAACTATGGAAACACCCCTCTGTACTGGGCTGCAGAAAAAAACCAGGTCAAAAGCATTCAGTTCCTTCTCATCAGAGGTGCAAACCCCAACCTCCGAAACAACAACATGATGGCACCACTCCACGCAGCTGTGCAGTGCTGCCACAATGAGGTGATGAAGGTAAGGATCCGAAAGGCTCACCATGGCTAGGCGTGGGCTGTGGCCCAAATCGGGCTCCCTTTGCTGGGGAAAAATGGCCAAGTAGAGCTGCCAAGGCAAATAAACAGTAGCAATTCCACATTGTCATCGCTTCCGATCAACTGATGGTGGTGATTATGATGATGATGATGATGATGATGATGATGCTAATGATGAAAAGAGCCACAGTAATATTTCCAGCCTATATTAAATAGTCCTGAAGTATCAAGCACTTTTCTAAGAACTTCATATGTTTTAGTTTATTCAATTCTTATGTTAAAGAAATATATGAACTAAAACTAATATGCTCATTTTATAACTGAGGAAATAGAGGCACAATGTGCATTAAATAACTTGCCTAGTATCACATAAATAGTGAAAACAAGAGCCAGCAATTTTGTTTTCATCTTTGGTTCCCAGTTAAGGCTTTCTTACTTTGACCTGAGCGATTTAATACCTAAATGGAGGCAGATGATGGGTGACTGCGGAAAAGGGAAGGAAAATTGTGATTTTCTGTTTTGGTTGTAGAACTGGTGGCTTTCTTATGTTTTCTTTTGTCTTCTTCTTTTTATTTTTTTTTTAAGGCATGGGCATGATTTTGGTCAAACAAATGAAATCAAGAGAACAAAAAAAAACAAAAATAAAAATCCAAACAATTTGATGTTGAGTAGACACTGACTTAAGGTGACCCTAGGTGTGTCAGAGTAGAACTGTGCTCTTATGGTTTTCACTGGCTGTTTCTTTGTCAGTAAATCCCAACTTTTCTTCTGAGGCCCCTATGGGTAGACTCAAACCCCCAAACTTTCAGTTAGCAGCTAAGTATTTAGCAATTTGCACAATTCATAGAGTAGACCCTAATAAATGCATCTTCCTGTGTCTCAAAGAGTGTTCTTTCACACACAAGAAAACACACATGTATGCTTAAGTGGAATGCAATTTACAGATGGAACATGTTCCCAGGAATATTGACAAGATAGGTGATTTGGAACTTATGATACGTTTTCCTGTGGAAGGAATATTACAAATGATTTGTCTGTTGTCCCGAGGCCATGTCCAAATCTATTTTATCAATAAGTCAGCAAATAGGTCCCAGAAATACTCAGGAATTTCTCACTCCCGTGAACCAAACACAGATGGCTCAGTCCTTGACTTCGTAAGCCTGTACAGTGTGCACTTCCCCACTGTACCTTGAGTGAAGGTATGAAGCTCTGTCACAACACTTAGCACACACAAATTGTAATAAAAGAAAATTGTGTTTTTCTCTTCCGTTTACCAGTCCTTGAAAAGAAAGAGACAAAGTCTTACTAATCTAAATATTTTTAGTCTTCAGTGTTGTTGTTGCTGTTGTTGTGAGGTGCCTTCGAGTCAATACCAATTCATAGTGACCGTATGTACAACAGAACAAAACACTGCCCAGTCCTGTGCCATTTTCACAATTGCTATGATTGAGCTCATTGTTGCAGCCACTGTATCAATCCATCTTGTTGGAGGTCTTCCTCTGTTTTGTTGGCCCTCTACTTTATCAATGTCTTTTTCCAGAAAACATGTCCAAAGTACATGAGACAGAGTTTCACATCCTCATTTCTAAGACACTTTCAGGCTGGACTTCTTCCAAGACAGATTAGTTTATTCTTCTGGCAGTCTATCACTTTAAATATTCTTTGCCAATACCATAATTCAAATGCATCTATTCTTCTTTGGTCTTCCTTATTCTTTGTCCAGTTTTCACATGCATATGAGGTGATTTAAAATACCATGGCTGGTGTCAGAAATACCTTAGTTCTCAAAGAAATGTTTTTGATCTTTAATATTTAAAGAGGTTGTTTGCAGCAGATTTGCTCAATGCTATAGATATATCCTTTGATTTCTTAACTGTTGCTTCCGTAGCATTAATTGTGAATCCAAGTGAAAAGAAATCAATCTTTTTTCCCTATTTATCATGATGTTGTTTATTGGCCCAATTGTAAGGATTTTTATTTTTAAGTTGCAGTCTTCTGTGAAGTGTTGGTAAATGATGGGTATTTAATGGAATGAATGAATGAATGAATACATGGAAGTACTGGCTGAAGAAGGGAAGAGTTAAGACCTCAGCACACAAGAATATGGGTGAGGGTTCTGTCAGCAGTGGCAGTCACTGGGAAGGTTATTTCTGACAATAGATTTTATTCCCTTAAGTCTACATTATTCATGAGTCAGATGCTGCTTCTGTAACAGCTGGGCTGGCCACTAATGACTGCAGGGGCCCTCAGACATTTTACGTTTCCCCATGGAGTTTCTTGGGAAGGCTCTTTTCATAAACAAATGCCCATCTACTTATTTAATAGTGCCTATGAAAGCATGATTTGGGAATTCAAAGGCAGGAAGCAATATAAAAACTCTTGTTAATTAAAAATCAGAAATCTTCAGACCAACACATAAAGAATGAAAGGTACCATGCAACAATAGAAAAGAAAGTTCAGAAATAAGCCCAAACATGATTTATGACCTAGACTGTGGACATAACAGAGATTTTCCTGGGTGAGAAGAAAAACAGAGTTCTAAGAGAAGTGAAATTGTCTCTCCCTTACTTGATCTTAAATGAGTTGCAAATCTCTGTTTTACCAAACAGGAAGAGAAGGGAGTTTTGGTGTTTACTTGTGTGCTTGCAAGCAATAGTCTTACTGGCCTGCCTCTGTGAGTCATGCTGGTGGGCTAGCCCTTGTCTAAAATTTTAGTGTGCTTCTCTACTTCTATTCTACCAGCGTCCTGCCAAGCCTTCCATAGCTTCTTATATGGTTTTAAAGTAAAAATAATTACACAAGCATCATCTCTCATTCTTGCACAGACAACAGTTGATATGCATACTGTTCCTTGAGGCACATTGACCTTAGGATTATGGAGTAGCCGGGGGTTCTCAGTGGTCTAAAGGTCTTATTTCTTGGGGTTGAACCTCAAATCTCAAGTTGTTCAAGAATCCCATGACACTTCTTAGATTCTCATCTGAGAGATCCTTGGAGGACTCATTTACTAAGCTTCAAGCTTGCCTGGTAATGACTGCATCGACTAGGGTACCCAGTTTAGTTGCTTTCTCTGGGACCCTGTCACATACAATTTATCACAGTTTTTAAACAGATTGTGTTTATGGAAGTACATTAGTAACGCATGAATATTATAAATCTAATGATCTATAAGTAAAAGAAGGAAGAATATCTTCTTTTAACCATTTGTACTTTACTTTGGTAGATTGCTTTATGCGTGAATCTATAACTTCTTAGCTACAGAAAATGAGAGGGCTTTAATTCCACAGAATGAAACCTGTGTTCTCCCTCAGTAATTTCCTTACATACTACATTTCAGTACAATTTTCTTTTTTATGAGTAATACTAATTGTACTAATTGACATATTGTTAGGAGGGACCAGTCGCTGGAGAAGGATATCATGTATGGAAGGGTGGAGGGTCAGAGAAAAAGAGAAAGACCCCCAGGGAGATGGATTGGCAAAGTGGAAGCATCATTGGGCTCAAGCGTGTCAATAATTGTGAGGTTGGCCCAGGATTGGGCAGTGTTTTGTTCTGTTGTGCATAGGGTTGGTATGAGTCAGTACCGACTAGATGGCATCTAACAACAACAACAACTAATTGTAAACTTAATTCTTTATCTGCCACTCATATCAGGCCATTCTTTTAACATGGGTAGCTTTTTTTTTTAATTCAAGGTTTTTAAGAAACTATCTGTTTTAAAAAACTGTTTGTACAGCTTAATTATGATTATGTGCTTCAGCGTGATTACTGTCTTGCTGTAAGAGAAAAGGCCTCTAACAGGCCACGTCAAAGATTTTTCTCTTGGGAGAGACATTGATATGAGATAATTATTGTTATAATGAATATAAAATAAAAACTGATTAAAGATCTATAGATGCTTGGTCAATAATTGAATGACAGCAAACCACATAAGAAGTAAGAGATCTTCAATTAAATTGCATCAGAAAAATTGCATAAGCATTTTATTAGGAATGTTAATTTCTTACATCTTAGAATATAAGAAACTGCTCCAGGTCAAGTTTGAGTCAGTTGAGTTAAGTTATGCCAAACTCAAATGAAACTCTATTTTCTCTACTGAAGAAAAAGACGTTTCAATTGACATTTTCCAGAAGGCTTGCAATTGACATTCTTTCCAGAAGAATGCCATCTAATGGTTTCCAGCTCATAGCAACCCTGTATAGGGTTTCCAAGGAGAAGTTGGGGGGTTTGAACCACCGACTTTTTGTTAGCTGTCCAGTGCTTCACTAGGGCTTCTACTTGGAATCTAGGTAAAATAAAAAGGACTAGGTGGCCTAGGGTGTAACTGGTCCCTCTCCTACTCACATATACTTTGCAAGTCTTTCCATAAATGTGATGTTTTAAAGTTATTGGTTGACATTGTTCACTTAAAAGAGAAGAATTGAGAGAACTATGTTAATGTCTTCCATTCTTAATCTGTATCAATGCCCATAATTCAACATAGCTTTAATCAATGTGATAGTGAAATCAACATTATTTGTATTTGTAAAATTTATTTAGTAGTCATTATATGCTAGATATTTTGCTATATAATCCTCACTTGAGTGAGGAGAGAGAGATCATGAATAACACATGATCCTTGGCATCAGGAAGCTTAAGATATAATATCCTATTTGGACACCTGCAGCTTAGTTTTTGACAGTTATTTTATTTTATTTATTTTTTTCTTTTTAACATAGGTCTTGATTGAGCACAGAAGTACTAATATTAATTTGGAAGGAGAAAATGGAAACACAGCTGTGGTCATCGCATGCTGCAAAGATAATAGTGAAGCTCTGCAAATTTTGGTTTGTACATATTTTTTTTTTCCTTCTTTATATCTTTGTAAGTACCACATGAATAATTCTTGATATTTATAACAATTGTTTCAATTTCTATCCTAAAAAAATACACAAGATAGAATATGTCAGAAAAAAAAGTATTCTATGTGTTTTTAAGTTATATATACATATCTTACATTTACCTGATCCACCATCTTCAAGGAAGGCCTGGTAGTATAGTGGTATAGTATAGATAGATCAGGTAAATGTGTAGTGAGTAGCTCGGTCAACAACAACACGGAATACCGGGTCAAGAGGACTCATGAGTTGGTGTTGGAACTCTGTAACAAATATAAAGGTATGTTTGGAGGTTCAGGGGGTTTATAGCTGGGGAATTTGCAGGAGAATCC